TTTTTGAGCTGTGTCTTGGAGAGTTTTTAAAGATCCTGATTAATTTGTACAGGTTGAGATGGTGTGAAATCTGAAAGGCACAGAGGTGTCTTGCTGAGCTCCACCTATCAGTCAGTGCCCTGCTCTGAGCAACAGAAGCTTCCAGTTTCCCACACCTCCTTCCAGATGGTCTACGCCCACCCCCAGGTGGTCACCTCGTCCTCATTGGTCTGTGCCTTGCTTGTTTTCACCTAAAACATCCTGGAGAACACTCCTCTGTTTAAGGCTGAGCGATTTCCCTTGTGTGGCTGTGACTTGATTTCAGTAGTCCTGTATGGGTGGACGTTCGGGACCTGGGCAGTGTCCTGCTGTATAAACAACCATGCAGTGAGCATCTCTGACCGCCATTCTACCAATTAATCCATACCGAACACAACATAATATCCACCACGATAACACACAACAGGCACAACTGCATGGTTGTCACCGCCTGGCTGCCCTGGTAGGGTGGGTGGAAGGTGGGGAGGATGCTCAGGGCAGGCCCCTGAGGGAAGCAGCCGTGCAGGGAGGGCCTGGGCCGGCCGGAGCAGAGGGAGGGAAGCGCAGGCCTGGCGTGGCGGGGGCGGGTAGCCGGTCAGACTCTGTCGTGCCACCCGCCCGAGCCTCGTGTGCGCGCCATTGGACACATTCAGTGAGGCTCTGCTGTTCCAGTGTCAGGAGAGTGTTCATGTTGAACCCGCGCTCCTCAGCTTCTCTTACAGACCCAGAAGCTTTGCCATCCTGGGTTCAAATTCCTTTGGGCCACAGCCAGCTAGCGGTGAGGGGCTGCTTCCCATGGCTTGTGTGTACATCCTGTGTCCTGTCCCAGGTCCACTGTCCCCATCATCTCCCTGGCCTTGTTTCTGCTCTGCTGGGATTTTTTTTTCTAAATTTTAAAATTTTATTTAATTTCATTTATTTTTAACTTTGAAATTAATTTTATTAAATTTTATTATTTAAAAGTATTTTAATTTTATTATTTATTTTTTATTATTAATTTTATTGATAACAAGGTCTTGCTCTGTATTTTTGTAGAGACAGTAGGTTCTCATATGTAGCTCAGCTGCGTCTTGAACTCCTGGCCTCAAGCGATCTCCTGCCTCAGCTTCAAAGTGCTAAGATGCAGGCATGAGCTACCAGGCCTGGCCAGTTTTTAAATTTTATATATAATTATATATTATTTTATTTATTATTCATTCAATTATTTATTTTTGAGACAAAGTCTTGTTCTGTCACCTCGGGTAGAGTGCAGTGGTGTCATTGTAGCTCACAGCAGCCTCAAACTCCTAGGCTCAAGTGATCCTCCTGCCTCAGCCGCCAGAGTAACTGAGACTACAGGTGTGCACCACCATACCTGGCTTCATTTCTCTTTTTCTTTTTTAGTAGTGAAGAGGGACATGACATACTTTTTGTACTCCTATCTTTATGAAAAACAGGAAAACAAAAACTAGGAGGAGGGGTTGGGTGTCTGCCTGGCTCCCCTGGCTCCTCACACACCTGCTTGCGTGGTATGAAGGTGGGGCCCAGCCCTCGACTAGGGTGGACGTACTTGGCCCTGACCAGGCCACAAGGGAGGGGCCACTGGGGCGAGTGAGGTGAGGAGGAAGGGGCCTGTGAGAGGGACGGGCCCGTCCATTGGTCCTGGGGACTCTGCCAGGCCCCGCAGCTCCCGAGCTGTTTGGGCGGGAGGAGGGGGACAGGCGCTGGCGCAGGAGCTGGCAGAGGCGTGCAGGGCAGGGGTATCCGAGCTGAGGCCTGCAGGGAAGGCCTGGTGTGGGGCCAAGGGGACTGGGTGAGTGAGTTGGGCGTTGGGCCTCATGCCTTGTAGGTGGCAGCAGAGTCCTCAGGCAGGAATAAGGTCCTTTGGGGGAGAGGTCTGTGTCTGGACAGAGAGCTGAGGTTGTGTTCCTGGGTGGCCCCCTGACCTGGGGAGTTAGGATGTCCTTGGTATAAGGACCCAGGGTGCAGAGGGAAAGGTGACTAGGCTGGGTGGGAGCTGCCAGGGTGCAGTCTGGAGTTCCTGCCGTTTACTCCCACTGGGACAGTGCCAAGTGCAGGTGTCGTCACCTTGTCCTGGGTGGCTCCAGGCTCCGCCTCGGGCCTCAGGTGCTGTCCCTGCCTCTTATCTCAAAGGCAAAAGGATGTAAGCACTTCCTTTTCCACTCTGTGCTTCCTCTCCCTGGCCTCACAGCATCGCTGGGGCCCAACCTGATATGCATGGCTCCACTTTACAGATGGGCAAAGCAAGGCCCATGGTGGTAATTTAGGCTGCTCCGGAGGTGGGCTCTGGGACTCCTGGGAAAGGCTGGACCAGTGTTTCCTCAGCGCTCTAGAACCCAGGGCCTGCTCTGCTCCCCTCACCCAGCCACGGCCTCATCCTGTGCCTATGGGAGGATAGGCCTTGTGTGGAAATGGATCATCCACCCGCTGCCCTGGGTGCAGGGAAGGCCCCTACTGAGTTGAAAACAAATACAAAGGAAAGAGGTTGATATGATCGTTTTGTGATTTATAATTGGCTACCTCTTAATGCAAACTTTTTTTTTTTTTTAGACAGTCTTGCTCTGTTGCCTAGGCTAGAGCACAGTGACCTCACATTCCTGGGCTCAAGTGATACTCTTGGCTCAGCTCCCTAGAAGCTGGATACAGGCATCAGCAACCACACCCCGCTAATATTTCTATTTTGCAGAGATGAGATGTCACCTTGCTCAGGCTGGTTTGAACTTCTGGCCTCAGGCGATCCTCCCACCTCAACCTCCCAGAGTGCTAGGATTACAGGCATGGGCCACCACACTCGACCTCAAACTTTAAAAGAAAAAACCCCAAAATCTCAATTTTTTTTTTTTTTTTTTTTGAGACAGAGTCTCACTTGTTGCCCAGGCTAGAGTGCTGTGGTGTCAGCCTAGCTCACAGCAACCTCAAACTCCTGGTCCAAAGATCCTGCTGCCTCAGCCTCCCGAGTAGCTGGGACTACCAGGCATGCGCCACCATGCCTGGCTAATTTTTTCTCTATATATTACGTGCCAATTAATTTCTTTCTATTTATAGTAGAGATGGGGTCTCGCTCTTGCTCAGGCTGGTTCGACCTCCTGACCTTGAGCAATCCACCTGCCTCAGCCTCCCAGAGTGCTAGGATTACAGGCGGGAGCCACCGCGCCGGCCAAAGCTCAATTTTTAAAAACACAGCTATTTGGAAGTGAATGAGAAGCCAAATGAAGTTCCTTTGTGCTCTGGGGGTTCCTGGGCTGGCTACCAGAAGCCAGGTGACCTGAGTGGCCCTGGTTCTCATGACAGAATCTTACCTGGGTGGGGGTTGGGATGACATGAGGATAGCACTTCAGTCACCCTCGGGGTGGGGGGGAGGGGTCAGGTGTCCTTTGCTCTAGAAAATGGCATCTTCTGGGCTGTCTTTGAGCTCCCAACCAGGGTTGTAATTCCTCCAGAAGAGGAAAATATTGCGGTCTACATTACGGGGTATCCACCGTGTGCCAGGCACTGTCTTGGGGTGCGAATGTGATCAGGCATGATCTCTTTGGCAGTCAGACGTGGCAGTGCTGTCATTACGCCGTCGTACAGATGAGGAAATGGGGGCGTGAGCATTCTGGCGGTTTGCACGGCTTGCCCAGCTTAGTGCAGCCGGAGCCAGAAGTGATCCCTGAGCGTCTGGCGTGCTCAGCCCTGAGCTGCTGCCGGGGCGCTTAGGAGGGTGCCACCCTGGGCCCACGCTGGCCCAGGTGCTGAACCACAGGCTGTGCGCCAGTTGCCTGTCATCTGTCTCTGCCTGGGCCTCTGACGGTGGATTTCATCAGCCGGGCGCGGTTTGTCTGGAAGGGCCAGGCTTCTGCTGGGTCACCTTGGTAGGGCACCAGGCTGGCTCTTTGGATCCCAGAGATTTCGTGAGCTTCCACGCTGGCTGCCCACGGCAAGGACAAAGTTTTCCCTCTTTAAGGAAGTGAGGTGGTGTTTGTCTTAACTACGAGCCTGGGCACCACCCGGGGAGCCCCTGAGGAGCTCACCACACCAGTGCAGGTGGGACCGGCGTTCACCTGTCGCCAGGCCCAGTCTTGATGTTTTGCAGCCGTGACTCAAGCTCTCAGAGTCCCCACGGTCACCTGCCTTCTCTGGGACTGTTGATGAGGGGTGGTCCTGATCCCAGGAATTTGCTTCCTGGCTCACAGTCTGTCCTTGTGCTCATGCTGTTCAGGCGCTGGGAGATGCCCAACTTCTGTGGCCTGGCAGATGTTCCACTGTGACGAGCACGCTGTCTAGGAAGAGCCCAAACATGTGGAAAGTTCTTTTTCCTTTGGGAGCCAAGGAGGCCTTTGGGGGACCTCCTCCCTTCTCTGGGTGTCACTGTTGCACGAATAGTATCCTTTCTGGAGGCCTCATCCTTCTCCTCTCTCCTGTGCCCTAGGATCATGCGGCCAGATGATGCCAACGTGGCCGGCAATGTCCACGGGGGGACCATCCTGAAAATGATTGAGGAGGCAGGAGCCATCATCAGCACCCGGCACTGCAACAGCCAGAACGGGGTGAGCGCGGGGAGCCCACCGGGCAGGGATCACATGGGAGATGCTGTCCCCAGAGGGCCGCGCCAGTTCAAGTCGGGAAGAGAGTTCTCACGGAGCCCTGGCCTGGGGCCTCCCCTTCCCTTGCACGCCAGGCCTTGTGGCATGCGGAGGCACCGGCCCAGTCAGCCCCAGACGGGCTTCTGGGAGCTTCGCTTGGGTTTGGCCTCAGCCAGGAGGGCAGGAAGCTGTGAGGCAGTTGCTGGAGGCTGCCCTCTACCTCTCCGCTTAGGCCGTGACCTCCCGCCAGCCCCACCCTCTCACAGCCACATCTTGAGGCCCTGTGGGCTGGATTCTGACCAGAAGCACGCTACACCTGCGTGGGCAGAGTTTATAGTGACAGTCGAGGGCTGAGGTGGGAGACAGGCTGGGCCTGGCTCCCGCCTCTGCCCTGACCACCCTGGTGGCTTTGGCCAGTGCTGTGGTGCTTTGTGCCTTGGACCTTCCTGGCTGTGAAGCCACCTCTATACAATGGTGTCTATACAGTGGTGTCCGAGATGGGACCAGCTCTTGGCCTCCACAGAGCTATGCAGTGGAGATGGGCCTGTGGCCTTGCAGCTGGGGGCAAGGGGCAGGCTCTTTGGTTTCAGAACCACAGGGCTGCTGCAGGCCTTCAGCCTGTCACCTCCTACTGTCCCCAGCCCCGTGGTCAGGGAGAGAAAAGCCAGCTTATGGGTGCTAGGGACAGGGGGTCTGTCTTGCTGCTGCAGCTGCACCTTGGGGCCGGCGCAGAGGCCGCACCTCGCATGCCCAGGGCCCTTGTGCAGAGGGAAGACAGAGGGAGGAAGATCCAACCCCGGCCTGTAGGAGGGAGTATGGGGGGAGAGGGTGTGTGATTTGGGGCCCCACCATGAGCTCTGGGCACAGGCACGATGCCACTGTCAGGAGGCTGAGCGTGGGAGCCAGGCTGGAGATGGGAGACCAGGGGAGACACTGTTAATTCTGCTTGGTCCACGCTGGCAGGATGCAGGAGTGAGATCTGCCTCAGTCTGTCTAGGCTGTCATGACAAAATGCCACAGCCAGGGTGGCTTATCAGTGACAGCAATGTATTCTCACAGGTCTGGAGGCTGAAAGTCCCAGATCAAGGTGCCGGCGGATCTGATGTCTGGTGAAGGCCCCCTTCCCGGTTCACAGATGGCACCTTCTCCAGATGGCACCTTCTCACGTGTCCTCACATGACAGAAGGGGCTCTTTGGGCCCTCTTCCCAGGGGCACTAATCCGGTTCACGGGGCCCCACCCTCACGACCTAATCACCACAGAGGCCCTACCTCGTCATATCAATACCATCCCATTGGCAGTGAAGACTTCAACATAGGAGTTTGAAGGGGACACAGACATTCAGATGGAGGCACGTGTGTGCAGCCTCAAATAGCGCACGTGTCCTCCTGCTGGGAAGTGGAAGGCTGTGTGTTGGCGCGTGTGTGCGCGCGTGTGCACGCGTGCATGTGTGTAATGAGCCAAGCTGCACAGGCGAGTGTGAATGGGTGGACGTGGGGGACCTTGTGGTGATGGTGCAGTGGGAGTGGTTGGCTGGCTGCTGGTGGCATCGGCTCGCCTGCCTGGATGGATGGATGCTCGCTGCAGTGCTGCCTGGTTCGAGTGCGCCCTCTGGTGGCCATTGGAGGATGACCCTGAGCCCGAGAGGCTGGGAGCATGATGGGGGCCACGCCCCTGGTGACCCTTCACAAGGGGGCAGTTAGGGTCCCAGGCAGGGCTGGCAAGAGAGGATGACGGATGTTGGGAAGAAAAAGTCCCCAGGACTGGGGAGCAAAGGAGAAAGGTGGGGCTTATGTGGCTAAGTGGGTGATGATGCCATTGATACTTGTAGAAGTCATCACTGCCATTTGGTAAGCACTTAGCGTTTTTGCAAAGCTCTGAAGTACTTTAGCTCATATAATCCTCACAGCACCGGTGAGAGACAGATGCTGTTATTTTTATTTTCCCTGTTGCATAGATGAGGAAACTGAGGCACAGAGAGGATGAATCTTTGCTTGAGGCCTCCCTGGGCTGCAGACAGTGGGTCTGGGCTGTGAATCCAGGCCTCAGACCTGTGATTGGAGCCTTGCTCCTCCTTGCTGCTTCTCTGGGCCTGGCTGTGCCGGAGGGACAGTTTTGGCACGCTGACTGGAGAACTCTCTGGGCTGGTGGTCCCTAGGATAGTGACCTAGAAGTGCCAGGCTCAGGAGGCATCTGTGAGCTTGGTCAGCACCAGCGCAGGGGGGTGACAACCGTCCAGTCCCAGGTGGCTGGAAAGACCTCTGAGGGGCCTCGCTGGGGCCTTCCCTGGTGTGGCAGGAGGCCCCTCTGGCCACCCTCCCTGAAGGTGTCATCCGGTCTCCAATACCATGTCAGTCCCAAGATTCTGCCTGTAGCTGGCCTCTTGGCTGGCACCTGGGTGCCGCCTCGGCCTGTCGACCTCCTTGTGCCCTGGGCGCCACTGCTGACCTTGCCCCCAGCTTGCTTCTCCCAGTCCCTCCCGCCTGTACTCGACCTCTGCAGCTCTTGCTCAGACTCAAAGCCTGGGGGCTTGACCCCTCTTACCCCGCACCCACAGGCTCCAGCTGCGGATCCTGCGGCTCCACCTTGCGCATGTCCAGATCTGAGCACAGCCCCCAGCTACACCCCCACGGGTCCAAGCCGCCAGTGCCACTTGCCCGGATTGCTGCAGCAGCCTCTTGACAGGACACCCTGCTGGTCCCTGCCAGCTTATCTGTTCTCCAGCTTTAGCCGGAGAGACCCTTCAGCTGTGAAATCAGAGCACAGCACTCCCCGCTCGGAGCCCTCTGGTGTCTCCCCGCTTGCCCAGAGTCAAAGCCCCAGCCCACATGAGGCCACACGAGTGTATATGAGGTCACTCGAGGCCAACAAGGCCACTCGAGTTCCTAGCCCTGCTTTCTAGGACCTCATCTCCTGTGTCTCTGCCTCCATGCTCGCTCCGGCCACACTGGCTTTCCTGCTGCTGCTTGAACGTGCCGGGTGCGTTCCTGCCTCAGAGCCTTCACGCTGGCTCTTCCCCAGGTGCCTGCAGGGCCCAGCCTCACCTCCTAGTCTCCGCACCAACACAGTGTCCAGTTGGGCTCCCGTGGCCCTGCTGCTCCACCCCTGACCTGCGGTGCTCTAAGTTATCCGTATGTCGAGGCAGGGGCCGCTGCCTGCGTGGTTGCCCCAGACAGTCAGCGTCTGGACCCCTGGCGCACTCCCCACTGCACACCTGGCACCGAGGTGCTGCCTGGCTCCACAGTGTCTGGAGTGAGGTGTGCGGGAGGCTGAGGTCCATCCGGGGTCCAGAGGTGCAGAGATGGTCTCAGCTAGTGAGTCAGAAACAAGCTGCAGGGCAAGGAGGGCCAAGGCCACTGCCTCCAAAAACCTTAAGTGTGTAGGTCTGTGTAGGCGTATCTGTGTCGTAATTTCACCTGAACACTCTCCAGTAAAACACACTTGGCTTAAGTCTGCTTTGGGGGCTTGCAGACAGTACTTGGATGGTTCTGAGAGGTGGCCTGCCAGATGCAGAGGGTGGCCCTTAGCCCTGCATGGCTCTGTGGCCTTTCCAGCTTTTGGCCAGTGGGTGGTGCTATAGCCACATAAATGTCCGTGGGGGTGAAAGCTGCAGTCCCACACATTGGTGAGCTGCTGTGGGTGGGGACAAGCATGGGCGGGGACAAGCCCATGCAAACCAGAGTGGGGAAGCCCCAGGTTACCCTTGCCGGCATAGCTCTAGAACTTTCCCAGCCACCCCCATTTCCTGCCCAGCCCCAGCTGCCTCACCCAGACCTGTCTTGGGACATTTACAGCCTCAGACACGGTCACAGAGTCCCCTGAGTCCATGCCATGCACCTGAGAATCCGCTGGGAGAGGGGCAAGATGGAGGTTTCCTGGCCATACCTCCAAAGAGGCAGGTTCTGGGCCTGGGCTGGGCCTGGGAACTTGCATGTTTACCTTGTACCTGGTGAGTCCTCGTGCAGGTGGGAGAGCTGCATGTTGGTGCCACAGGGGCAGCAGGTGGGCGGTGGGAAGAGCACACATACACCAGGGCTGCGCTGACCTCCTTGCTGTGTGACATGGGCAGCTTAACTAATATGTCCCCCTTGCAGAGGGGGACTGTGAGGGTCACCTGGGCAGGTGACACCAGAGCAGGCTCAGGCCCCACAGGCAGCCTCTCCCTCCCCTGCCCCCCACCAGGCCAAGGAACACCTCATTCTCTGTCAACACCCTAAGAAACGTGATTGTTTTAAAAGCAAGTCGTAGTGGTACCAAGTACCAAGTGCTCTGTTTGGAAGACGAAGACCCAGTTTCCCACTGTGCAAATACAAAACCATCTTCTGTGTCATTCAGTCAGCAAAGGGGGAAAATAAGTTGGTTCTGGGTGCTGGTGAGGATGCCGTGAGCTGCCAGAGGCTGGTCAGTCCCTGCTGTCCTTCTGAAGAGCACTTTGGGAACATAGATCAAAATATTTCTCCCTGAGACTTAGGAAATAATCCCAAGTGCAGAAAACAGTTTAAGTGAAAGGATGTTTATCACAGGATCGTTTATAATAAGAATCAATTGAGTTTGGCCCAAATCTCCAACAAAAGAAGAATATTCTGTTCTGTTTGGCCATTGAAAATAACTCTACTGGAGTGTCTTGAAAAGGAAATTGCAGAAAAAGATAAGAAAGTCCTTCACTTGTGGCCGTGGTTGAAATGTTTGTGTCCTCCCGAATCCATTTGTTGAAATCCTAACGCCAAGGGGACGGTATTAGAAAGTGGGGCCTTTGGGGTGATTAGGTTATGAGGTGGAACCTTTATGGTGGGATTAGTGCCCTTGTAAAAGAGGCCCCGAGATACCCCTCACCCCTTCCACTGTGTGAGGACGCACGAACCAGACGCCCAATCTGCCAGCCCCTTGATCTTCGACTTTCCAGCCTCCAGAACTGGGAGAAGTAAATGTTATTTATAAGCCACTCAGCCTGTGGTGTCTTGTTAAGGCAGCCAACGCACCAAGACACGCATCCCCAGAGGATGGATGGTCTCCAAGGTGGGCTAAGAGAGAAAAGCAGCACGTCCCCAGAGGATGGTCTCCAAGGTGGGCTAAGAGAGAAAAGCAGCACACGTGGCGCAGCCTGTTGCACGTCCGCCGTGCAGTGCAGATGCGGCGTCTGGTCAGACACGGGCATGGGGAGCTCGGGCTACTGAGGGGTTGGTCCCAGTTGCTAGAGACAAGCAACTAGAGGCAGACCTGGAGGCACATGCCTTTTGTTCCTTTCGAAGTTTGAATTGTGAGAATGGGTTGCCTCTTTGAAGGGCAAATAAAGTTTGAATTAAGGAAAGAAGAATAGTGATTGCAAAGAGCACATCACAGCACAGGCAGATTATTTTTCCCATGTTGAGTAAAAAAATCAAAATGTGAAAGTGTATATTTAGTTTTTGCACAACTCTGTACGAATAAAACTGCAAAACGAGGAGCCCACACACAAATAGATGCACCAACAAAACCCCTATTCTTAGGAAAAACGTCTGGGAAAAAGATCCCCAAATAGTAACTGTGGTTATCTTTAGATGGGAGCAGTGATGTTCCCTCCTGTTCCTACTTTTTGTATTTCCCAACTTTTCCATAATGAGTGTGTATGCATTTTTTCACTCTTTATCATGGAAGTAATGTGTGTTTATTGTAGAGAAATTAGGAAGAAAGCCATTGGTGGTCCCATTGCTCAGAGCCCCTTCGGCGGTTGCTGTGGAGTGTTTCCTCGGGGTCTTTGCCATGTTCCTGTGTCATTGTGTTCAGGGCGTGGTGCCCATAAATTGCATTACTTCCGCAGTGGGGAAGGGAAGCACAGGCTTTCCACAGGGAGCATCTCGGGGTGAGGGGCTGGGCCGGCCATGCTGACGGCCATCTCTGGTCTTTGTAGGAGCGCTGCGTGGCGGCCCTGGCCCGGGTTGAGCGCACCGACTTCCTGTCACCCATGTGCATCGGCGAGGTGGCTCACGTCAGCGCGGAGATCACCTACACCTCCAAGCACTCTGTGGAAGTCCAGGTCAACGTGATGTCTGAAAACATCCTCACAGGTAACTTGCCAACGTAGCTGGCAGTGACAGTGACAACTGTAATGGCGATGATGGCGGCCGCAGCACTGCTGCCGCCCACCTTCATCAGGGCTCACGATGCCGGCGGGGATTGTCCGCATGCCAGAATGACCTCCCTCAGCCCCCACCCCCATCCTGGGGCAGGCGCTTCTCTTACCCCCGTTCTGCAAATGGGGAAATGGACTTCGGTGGGTTGAGCAGCAAGCCCAAGATCACACACCTAGGGCAGCGCTCAGACCCTGGCTGTCCGGCTCTAGCCCTGGGTGTGCGACCACTGCTTGTCCTGCCTTCCCGTGGCCAGCTGGTCTGCAAGGCGTGGGCGCAGGTGCAGGCTTGGAGGGTGTCACCTGCCCTCCAGCCCCTCTCTGGCCCACTCGCCCTTCAGGAGCACAGCAAGATGTTGGCTCTGCAGAGGACACTGCTCACTTGTGGGGACCTGCCCCAGGCCCCTCTCCCTGCTCCCCTGGGCCCCAGAAACCAGGCCTAGAGAGGAGCTGCCTGGTCCAACCTTTGGCTTTGGTTTCATCTGAATATTCTTCTCCTTGGCCATGGTAACCATGGAAACCCCTTTTCCCCTTCCCGCTGGGCGCCGCAGGAGTGTGGCTCCAGTTCTCACGTGCTAGTGATTCTTTTTATACCCAGGCTGGTGACAGGGAAGGCGGCCTCTTTGCCTGCCCTCTCACTGCCACCTCCCCAACGCAGTCTGGGCCCGTCGGCTCCTGCAGAGGCAAGGCTGGGCCACTGTGCTTCCTCCTCCTCCCTTCCCCCTTGCTCATTGGTGGCTGCCCTGGAGAGTGCTGGCTCAGAGCTGTCTAAGGGGCTTGAGTCTTCTCCCCATGATGGGCCAGGAGCAAGCAAGTCATTCATCTGTAACATTCTGATAACCTCAGTGGGCTTGGTGATTAGAATGGTCACGTCAGCCCAGTTGCAGCACGGTCAGTGGTGTCGCTGAGCAAGGCCCTGGGGCCGGGGCTGTCAACCTGTCTGTCTCTGTGCTTCCATGCCCTGTGCGTGGCAGTCATTTCTCGCATCAGATGGACCCTCAGATGGCCTCAGGCTGTGGCACGGGAAGGGGTGCCGGGCACTCTCCCACATAGGGCCAGCAGCCCACCACTAGGGAAAGGCTCAGTGCAGGCTGGGATCTCTACATGGGGGGCCCAGCCCTTCCTCTCTTGGGCTGTGCTGGGGATGGAGCCTCTCCCCGTCCCTGAGAGGAGGACGGCCCGCTGCTCTCTGCTGCTTCTCGTGACCTGCACGCCTGCGGTGGACAGCCACTTCGGTAGCGCCGTTCTCACTGTAGGAGTTGGTGGCTTCAGTAGTGGTGGGAGGGGCCTGCTCTACAGATTCCCTTCCACCAAGCCACAGCCTGTGAGGAAGCCCCAGTGGACAGAACGACAGCCATGCTGCTTGGGAGGAGGAGGGAGGCAGGGAGACAGGAAGGCGATCTTAGACTTTCAGAGGATTGGGGACCTCTGTCCCTGCAAGAGGGATCGAGCCAGCCCCATGTCAGGAGTGTTGGGGTTGAGGAACTGCCCTCCCCACCCCAGATTATGAATTTCCTTTTCCTGGCAGCTTCTGTTGGCTCCTAATAGATGCAGAATCAGTAGTGGGTAAGTGAGTGAGTGAATGAATGAACAGAGGTATCGTGAAGAGCTGGGCGTCTATGCAGAGAGACATGGCGCTGACAGGGTTTCGACTGGGATCGTGTGGTCTGACCTGTGTTCCAGGGTCCTGGCACTTTGCAGGGCAAGGGTGGAGGGAGAACAGCCCTTGCCCTGCGATGAGGACGCTTCTCTGTGGCCCCAGGTTTTCTGGGCGCTGCAGCCCCCAGCCTTCTTCCCTTAAGGATGGGCAGGGAGAGCCTTCGGGGGCAGAGACAGTGCCGGGCACTGCCACGGACATGCACTCTCCCCAGGATGTCGGGCAGGCATCGTCACCCCATTGCGCAGATGAGGAAACGGAGCTCAGGGAAGGCAATGTGCCAGCCCTGGGCAGCTTTCTGCGGTGGGGCCGGGATGAGGCCTAGGTGCTCTCTCTGACCCTGCCCCTTCCTGCATCCCGGGGCCAGAGTCACGAGGCCTGGGCCCGAGGGACATGGAGCCTCGAGGGCTGCAGCTTTTCTCTCCATCTTGCTCGTCCTGCCCAGAGCCCATTGCTGTCTCTTTCTCTGTGGTCGCTATCGCTCTCTTGTCTCCATCTGCCTCCCCGTCTCTCGTCCCTCTGTCTGTGCGTGTTTCCCGTTGGTCTCTCAGATCCGCGTGGGTCTCTTTTCTCTCAAGGCCTTTCTCTGTCTGCGTGTTTCTTTCTGCCCACGTGTTCCCTGGAAAGGGAGCTAAGGAGGACCTGGCTTGTGGCCGCCTGGGCACACAGACCCCCAGTGCCAAGAACAGTGCCTGGCGCCCAGCGAGCACTCACAGACGGGGAAACAGGCCGGGGAGACGAGGCTGCATGGAGAGCTGTTCTTTCTCCACCTGGGAGGCAGGGCTCCCCTGCTCCCGTGTCCCCTCCAGCTGGGCTGCGCTGCCCGTCACGAGGCGGCTGGCGAGCACGCGCC